TGCTAAACAAACAAACAAAAAAACAAAAATAAATAGCCAGGCACTGTGGTAGGCACCTGTAGTCCCAGTTGCTAGGGAGGCTGAGGCAAGAGAATTGCTTGAGCCTGAGAGTTTGAGGTTGCTGTGAGCTGTGATGCCAGGGTGCTCTATGGAGGGCGACAAAATGAAACTCTTGTCTCAATTAAAAAAAAAAAATATTGAAGGTATAGTCATATGATAGAGGTCATGATGGTTAATGTTATGTGTCAACTTTGTTAGGCCATGGTTATCCAGATGTTTGGTCAAACACCAGTCAAAATGTTGCTGTGAAGGTATTACGTAGATATGATTATCATTTACAATCTCAACATAAGGAACTGGGCCCACTGTACTGATAAGTACATGTGGTGCATGTCTGATCTATAAAAATTAGGTTAACTTGAGGTGGTTAATGTAGGGAGGTTTTATTGTAGTTGAAGGCCTCAGAGCAAAAACAGGTATTCTAGGGGAAGAAGAAATCTTGCCTGAGTTTCCAGCCTACTGCCCTCTATAAATTTCAGACTTGCCAACCAGTCCCTATAACTACATGGTCAATTCTTAAACATATTTTTCACTGGTTCTTTCTTTCTGGAGGACTCTGACTTATACAAAAGTGGAAGTTAGACTAGAACAGGTTTAAGAAGTAAATGAAAGGTGAGAAGAATCTATAAATATTAAATACTCAAAAGCTTTTCTATAAAAAAGCTTTGTGGGGCCTCCTTAGCCAATAATGATATTGGGTAGCCAATGAGGGATGGGCAGAGGATCAAGGGGAGTCTTTAAAAATTGTGATAAACTGGGGCGGCGCCTGTGGCTCAAAGGAGTAGGGCACCGGCCCCATATGCTGGAGGTGGCGGGTTCAAACCCAGCCCTGGCCAAAAACTGCAAACAAATTGTGATAAACTATAGGCTGGGTGCGGTGGCTCATGCCTGTAATCCCAGCATTTGGGAGGCTGAGATGGGCGGATCACCTGAGCTCACTGAGTTTGAGACCAGCCTAAGCTAGAGCAAGACTTCATCTCTAAAAATAGCCTGGTGTTGTGGTAGGCGCCTGTAGTCCAGCTACTAGGAAGGCTGAGGCAAGAGAATCTCCTGAGCCCAAAAGTTTGAGGTTGCTGTGAGCTGTGATGCCAGGGAACTCTACCGGGGGCAACAAAGTGAGACTCTGCCTCAAAAATAAATAAATAAATATTGTGATAAAGTGGCACATTAAATTAGAAAGAT